AGTTCACAGTATTGCAGGCCTCTGCCAGACAGGAAATTACATCAGGCCATGTAGAAAACCTATATTCAACTTTTAGGTAGCACCCTATGGTGTTTGAAATCTAAGCAGTGCGATAACTAGCCCTGCTCTCCCCTTACCTAAACAACATGACAGGAGATGGTCAGTTTAAAGTATATCTGGTGTATAATAAATAGGTTAACCATGCAAAACACTGATATGTGGTCCTTTTAACCTGTCAAATGTAATATCTAAACTTACAATTCCATATTAAATGTGTTCTGCTTTATGTTTGCAATACATTTAACTACCTTTTAAAGGGGCCTCTGCAAATTATGATCCATTACCTTATAAAATTAAAGATGACCTGGCTAGTTGGAGCCTGGAGCATGTTAGAATTAATATTCTTCCTAGGATGCTGTACTTATTCCAGACCATACTAGTGGATAATCCAGTAAAAAATGTATTGAATGGGATGAGGGGGAAGAAACCAAGACTTAGATTTAAGATCATCCAGCTATCAAGGGATAAAGGAGGTTGGGTACTGCTTTGCTTAAAAAACATTATCAAGTGGCTCAAATTAAATCCCTGGTAAATCCATGTAACCCAGATTACCTGGCAATCTGGAAAAATACAGAATGTCACACTTCAGATAAGGTCCCTATACAAGTTATCATTGGAGATAGTAAACAGAAAAGCCATTTTGGGGGTAAACCTAATCCATGGTTAGATCTCTCACTTATAGTAAAACCTAGTTTAAATTGACCAAGACTTTGAGACTAAGGAGCCTTATGCAATGCTTCACTGGGTGGTATGATACAGGCTTTGGTCCAAATACACTAGATGCAAATTTTAAAAAATGGCAAAAACTAGGCCTGAATACTTATTCAGTTTTTATTTTTATTATTTATTTATTTAGGCTAACATTCAGTTTAGCCAGTCAAGATCTTTTGAGATTCCTACAGTTGTGATATCAAATTGATGGAATGTTTACTAAAGTGGATTTGGATAAGATGGGCTCCAATTCTGATGCTCTACAGTAAGTGTCTTTATCCAGGCATACAAAGTTAATACAGATTTTAGAAGTATCTCAAAACCGTACAGGGGCCTGGAACATTTATGTGGGGCAATTTCATGTTATATAAAAGAAAAGTGAGAGAGGGAGGGGAATTTTATAATGTCACTGGAGATTTGGGAAATGTTAAGTGAAAAGCAATGGAATTAATCTAATTCATTGTCAAGAAGGATGTTTAGGTGGAAAATTGTAGATATTTAATAACACAGCACTTAATTGATTTACTGGGAGACAGACAGTATGTTGGAGAGCTGGCAAAGAGCAGAGAAGCCAACAAGCAGTACTCTGTTGCCTTTGATAACAGCCACTAGATAGTGCTGTGGTAGTACTGCTGCCATTTTGGACTGAAAACAGCAATGAGAACAGTACAAAGCCTACAGACAATTAACTTTATTGACACCAACTTGACCGAGAAAGTGAATTCCAAATGGAATAAAAGAAAAGTGTTTGGTACTAATCCAGTACTGACAGACATTAATCATGTGTAGAGGCAAAGCATTGTTGGTTTCTCAATGGATAGTGTTGTGAGTACTATTTTAGAAAATTAGCCTTTAAGACTACAAGCAGACTGTAGTCTTTTGCCTAAACTTTCTCCTTTTGTTGTAGAATTATTTTTAGTGCATGTTTTAGTGAGCTTTTAAATTATTTAGGCTAGTTATTTCCTGTTTTTACCCCTCCATTACTGTGAAATGGGAGAAACAACTTTTCATTGGGTGCATATGCAGGGAAAATATATAGCGGACTGGGTAGCTCAGTTACTTTGGTACGGCAGGTCAGGGCTTCGAATCCCGGTCAGGATGTGGTCAATATCTAGCCTGGGCCCTTAGGCAACGCCCTTAATGCTACCTGCCTACCTCATGGGTAATAAGTTGGAAAAACACCGACCTCTGATGTTGCCCGGGTGTAGAGGAACCAGAGCAACCTGATGAGAAGTGGGCTACTGGAACAAGACATTCATGGACAAGAGCTGAGAACAGGGAACTATTGAAATGCTACTATACAAGTAACCCCAGTGAGAGGGGTTACATACGGAGAATGTGGGACATATGGATATTTTGAAACCCAACATCAAGACTAACATCGAAACTAGTAGCTCAGTGCTCTAACATCCACAACAGGCAGCTGACCTGAGACTGAAGATCACGACCAAGATAGACACCTGGAACCTCACGACTAAGTGAAGTGCCATCTGAAAGTCTACTAGAGGATGTGCACTATAAATAATCCCTACTATGACCATCCCTGAGACCAACAAGCTGATATACACCTTAGCAATCCTTGAGATGCTTGGCTATAAGTTCAACCAAGACAACAAGGAGAGAAGTTAGCCAGCCATCGAAAGGCGTGTTGAAGAAAGGGGTGCCTGCGCCTCCCGGACAGAGTAGTGGTGGACAAACAGAAGAAGAAAGCCATAGTGATAAATGTAGCAATCCCGAGCAATAGCAACATCAGAAGGAAGGAACACGAGAAGCTCGAGAAATACCAAGGGCTGAAAGAAGCGCTGGAAAAGATGTGGAAGGTGAAGGCACAAGTGGTCCCCATGGTAATAGCAACATTGGGGGCTGTGATCCCCAAACTGGGAGAGTGGCTCCAACAGACAACATCTGAGATCTCTGTCCAGAAGAGTGTAGTCCTAGGAACAGCTAAGATACTGCGCAGGACCCTCAAGCTCCCAGGACCCAAGCTTGAAGGAAGGAAGGAGGAAGACTGTCCAAAAAGACTTTATTCAGATGGCTCTTATAGTGAAGATTAAAAACAATACATGTTCAAAATGTGGGTTACAGCTCACACGTGGTGGCAAAGACACTGCCCTCTTCGGGGTGTAACATGAACCTGCGGTACACACTTTACCTTTAAGTACAGTAGATGTGAGATAATTGTAAACAACTGATGATACCAGGGAACCAATCATCCCATAGATGGCTAAACACCAGCAGGTGGCCACATGGGGAACCAAAGGACATATACATATAAACCCTGCCTAGAGGAGATCGCACCACAAAAATTGACTTAAAACAACATAGTCGTAGATAGAACATGGCCTGCACTAAATGTGCATAAGACACATTTTCTGCACAACAAAAGACAAATTATATATGTGTGCAAAAAAGGATTGAAATCAGTGTCATCATTCAGTCCTGTGGAGGATGTGGCCTGCAAGTGATGTATAGAGAAAGTTTCTTTCTGAACTTTAAATGGTCACCACCCAGGATGTTCTCTAGATCTTCAACCCTGAAGGCATCAGAATTATTGTTATTTGCATCTTGTAAATGTCTAGCCATGCAGGTTACCTTTTTTTATACTGGCACGGTGATTGCAGAAACCACACTTGTAAGTACCCCTCAAAGTTCGAGGGAGCTAAGTTCTATTATTTCTGGCTGAGATGAATATCTACTAACTCAAAACTGGTCTCGGGAGGACCTGGGCAAAGTGCCTTCAGGATGGGATCATTTCTTGTGAGGTTCCAATCAGAATATATTATTCTTTTGATGAAGTTTTTTTTCTCAAGGAGTTGAGATCTAGAAATATGTAGATTAAGAGCATCATGAATAATTTTCATGTGTGAAAAATGTTCTGTCAGGGTTTTGGCCTACTTTTCAAACTCCTGATCAGTATCACAAATATGGCATAGATGCTGAAATTGTCCAAAGGGAATCTTATTTGTGAGCCATTGAGGATGAAAACTATCTACTTTTAACAGTTTTTTATGTCTTTTTTTAAATAAAACAGCTAGAGTTCCTTCTTAGAACCAGTCCAAAACAACAAGATATCAATATAACAACCCCACCATTTTATATTGACACTAAAAGTATTACCATACACAAAATTCTTTTCCTATAGGCCCAAGAATGGTTTTATGTAATTAGAAGCAAAACAAGCCTGGGGTTTCTGGGGTTTTCTCAAATCATCTTTCTGAGATGTAGAAAATAAATCACGAATATCAAAGTCCACTTTTTTGTAAAGGCAGTCAGTGTGGCATTTGTTACTGAAGGCATATGACTTGCGTCTAAACGGTGACTTCGAAGCTGAAACCACATTTCTTGGTGCATTTTGATGGTACCAAACTTGCAAATATAAGCTACAATAGAATGCAAAAAGATCAGCTTTGGTCTTAAACACATTAGTCTGAAAGGTGGCAGAAGAAGAAAGTAAAGCCACTTTGACAACAGCCCAATAACAGGGGATGACTGTGGTTCAGTAGGTAGAGCAGTCGTCTCCCAACCATAGGGTCGGAGGTTTGAATCTCAGTGCCTGCAGTCCATGTGTCAAAGTGTCTTTGGGCAAGACACTGAACCCTCAAGTTTCCCCCGATGGTTAGGGCCATCAGTTGAGTTGGCACCGCAGATGGCTGCCTCAGTTCTGTACTGGAAACAAATTCCTTGTAACATATTTGGCCAAACAAAGGTGATTATCCAATACTATCCAGAGAAAGATCGGTTTTTGCTAAGTTGATTACCGCATTTTTACATTCTGGCTTCTGAGGCTCCATCACTGTTGTTGTCCAGTGTGAAGCCAGGGTCCTTGTTCATCACCTCCCTCTCGTTTTTTCTTCTTTTTATGATGGATCTTGTGGGTTATAGCCACTCATCCAAAAAATCTGTCACCTATCCTGTACCTGCAGTTGCTTATAAAGAGAAGACAAAGGCTGAGTTTCTGAACATAAAAATGCAATTAGGAAAGGTAACCAGGACTATCCTATGGCTAGACATTTTCAAGTCACACATAATAATCCTGTGACAATCACATACTGTCTGGTTTGTGTTATTAGACAGACACATACTGTATGTGCTGCATTCATCACAGGGAACCAAAGTAAGACTCAACATCTAGCCTACATATAACCAGTGTTATATAACCAGCAACAATTCAGTTCAGTGTAATGCAGGTAAATGGCTATATGTATCATAGACATGTAAAAAAAAATGGACAATTTCGACATTTCAGTTTAATTTGTTGTGGACAACGAGAGGTCTTATGGTCTGTAAAGCACCAAAGCCATATTTCCTGTAATGTCTTTTTCTGTAGTAAGGAAAAGGGGGGCAACAGTCAAATTAACAGTACATTAGCAGTACACTGTAATACTGGACACGAGGAAGTGCATGTAATGAACAAGTAGTCTGACTTTGTGTGACATTTTATAGATGTGGACATTGGCAGATAAGCTGCTCCAAAATCTGCCAACATTATTACAATATCCATCTCTTCTTCAAGAGTTAAGGTGTGTATGTGCGTAAATTAATAAAGACGATTTCATATGTAGACATCCCTGTTGTGTGTTGGAGTCTTATGTTTTGATCCATCTTTTTTTATTATATCAAAATGTATATATCTACCACAAAAGGAAAACCTTGTCTATTTTTATTACAAAACATTATTTTAATTTAATGTTGCTTTAAAATAAAAGCCTTCTGTGCACAATAGCAACATCCTAATTTTAGCATGTTCTCAGAAAGGCAAGCCCTGGTACACAGCTTAAATCATTATCCCACCATGGACCTCTTTCTCCCTCTCAACCGCACCTCATCAAGCTTTTTAATGACTGCTGATGACTTCTTGGATGATGCTCTATAGCTTTTCAGCAGTTTATCAAACAGTGTCTCTGTGTTGGGATGGGTACTGAGGAAAGCCTTCTCCAACACGTACAAGTCCACCCCCTTATCCTCCGGCAAAGCAGAGATGTAACTCAGGCCAAAGTCGATGAGGACAAGGCTGGACTCTCCATCCTCCAGGCCATGTCTCAGCAGCATGTTGGAGGTGGTCAGGTCTCCGTGGATGACATCCTCATCATGCATTTTGGCAAGAATATGGCCCACACACTCAGCCAGATGCTCCAGCTCCTGCTCCTTACATGAATCAGACTGCTGAATGGATGCAATGTGGTCACGCACAGTCAAGGAACCCATAATTTCCTCCAAGAAAATACAGTGGGAGGTGTAGTCCACAAAGTAGACTACAGGTGTAGATATGCCTGAGGAAAAGAGAATGTTGAATGAGACTATGATTTAAACTATACAACTGTTAAGTGTAAATATTTAAAAACATCAACTATATTGTTTTGTTTTGTTTTTTAAAAAGGCTCAGCAACTTCCTAAAACTACTGGTCACTGTTGTTTTACCAAACATTACTCAGACAACATTTCTTGGTGGACTAATCCACATTTGGTGCTCTAGTGAGGTTGTGGGGCAGTAGGGTGGCCCTCGCTGAACTCAGGTCACATTGGCATTTATGCCACCACAGCAGACCTGTTTGGGCACAGCCTAGTGCAGGGCACAGGGCACGAAAGAAACCTCTTCAGGGCTGCGCAAGGAATAAGCCCAATAGCGACAGCTGTTAGAAGGCTACACCTATACTCATAGAAGCTTGGGTTACTGTACATAACCATTGGTACTTGATTGTAGTACTACCTCCTGAAGGGTGCTGAATTTTAGCTCCCAGAATGCACCTCCAAAGCATTTGGAAGATAGGGGAAACAAACGCAGAACATGTGATGAATGTTGCAGGTTTTGGTAGGTTCATATAATGGAAAAACCCCTTTAGTAACCTTGTTTCAGTTATTCAACAAGTGAATATTGGTTAAAACCACAGATTATCACAGCCTTTGTGACAAAGTGACAAAAGCATGGCTGGCATGGAACTTTTTAAAATTAAATGAGGATAAAACTGAGTGTGTTTTATTTTCGTGATCTGGTGAAATTTGCTGCTTTTAACCACGACTTAGGCCCCCTGGCTTATCACTTGAAGATGACTGTAAAAAACCTAGGGGTAATGTTTGACAATGACTTAAGATTTGACAAGCAGATCAACTCAGTTGTAAAATCTAGTTTCTTTCACCTGAGGTTGTTATGCAAAGTCATTTCGTTCTTTTAATGATTTTGAGATTGCAATTCATGCTATTTATAACCACTAGAATTGACTATTGTAATGCACTACCTGTACAAGAATTTCATTGTACAGGGAAACACGTTTCCTAACTGTGCATATGACAAAATAAACAGTTTGAACTACATCTTGGTGTTAATCAGTCATCTCTCACTTGTCTTCAAATGGTCCAAAATGCTGCGGCTCATCTTTTAACAGGTACCAGGAAATTTGACCATATAACCCCAGTACTTGCACCTCTTCACTGGCTTCCAGTCTGTTTCAGAATTCATTTTAAGCTATTGATTTTTGTTTTTAAGGCTCTTAATGGTTTGGCACCGCCCTACCTCACTGAGTTGGTGCGAACCTACAAGATTGTTCAGATCCTCAAGCCAGTTTCTTTTAGAGGTTCCCAGGGCCAGATACAAACGCTGGGGTGACCTGCACTTATTGTTGCAGCTCCTAAATTGCGGAATGGTATACCTTTTAATGTTAGATCATCTACAGACTTCACAACTTTTAAATCATTGGTTAAAACATATTTATTCACTTTAGTTTTTAACACATAGTACTGTCTGATGCTTCCTTCTTTTAACTGTTAATTCTGTGTAATTCGTGTGTTTATGTTCCGATGATTACTGGTTGTATGCTGTATACACGAGGGGCACAAACTGGGGCTAAACCTTTGTTTGAGCACTGGGCTACCACATCACCCGGCAAGTGGTCAGCCCCTCTCTGTCTAATGTCACAGAATCGTTCAGGACAGATACATTTCCGTGACACTGCCAGTCAACGACAAACTGGCAGACGGTCTTGGACTGAGGCTAGCTAAAACGTAGCCATGTTCATTTAACTATAGTTTTATAGTGAGAATCCTGTTAAACTTGCCTGCTCTCCGGCAGCGCAGTATAGCGCGGACCTCTTGAACCGTCCTGCGGTGTGTCAGTCTCTCGTCCAGGACCGGGTGTCGGTAGCGTTTCGGGAACCTTTCTTTGACTATCGCCGATTTTCCCAGAAACTCTGAACGGTACACCCGGGCTTCTGCTCCTTGTTTTATTAACTCTGCTTTACTAAGGAAGTCTGAAACCGCCACGCTCTTCTCCTGTGCCATGTTTACTTCTACCTTCTTCTACTGTCCCACTTCCTCTGCTGTTTTTACATACTGCCACCCAGCGGTCAACCCGATTGTACAACTAAAGACGGGAAAAAGGGGTTTCTAGTTGTGAAATACAAAGATGTTGTCTACTCATCTACAGTGCTTTATGATTGACGCAAAATGTTAGTTTCCTTTACTATTACTCTTTTGGATTAAGGTAAGGGCAGTCAAGCAAGATTCAGGATTAGACTGGTTAATTTAGCGTTACTCCAAAAAGACAGAGGCATATTTGTGTTATGAGCTTTCAGTTTTACTCTAAAACCATAATCAGGAGAAAGTCAAGGTGCAGGAAACAACAGCTGATAAATGGGTCCATGGGCATGGAAGTGTAAGATAGGATATGTGAGGCGTGTTCTTTTATTTTGATTAAAAAAAAAAAAAATCACCCTAACAGATACTATAATAGCCTACTTACACTTCTAGGAGCAAGACTCACAGTTCAGTTCAATTCATTTTTATTGCCAGAAACACAGTCTTAAAAAGAAAGCACATACAACACAGACAAAATATAAAGCATACATTAAAAAATAAAAAGCAGTCACATTCTTAACAGACAATTATACCAATGTTTCCACAGGAATCACTGTTATACAGCACTGAATCATGGATTTGACAGCAACATAACAATGACATTGTGAGAATCATTCATTCAATAAATACATTTATAAAAAAGGTTCCTTAGTAGAGCCTGAAAAATGCATTACAGAAGTCACTTGCGCTACAGTACCTAGTTTTGCCTTTTTAAACTTGATCCACAAAGATGCAGTATAAAGAGGAGTGAAATATGCTCTAAAGAAACTTATCTGAATAAGTCGACACTGTCTACATGCCATCATCATCAGATATCTCATCTGTAATAAAGTATCCAAAATATTTAGTTTTATTACAAACATGTAGTACTTGCCCTGCATAATAAAAATCTGCCCCACACCCAGCACACTCCATTACTAATGCCAAAGGGAGCAGAAACTCTATTGCCCCACTTAACCTGCATACTCTGGTTAGTATACTGTACCAGTATACCAGTATTTTTATAATGCTGTCAGACATGCCATTTTGACTCCATTTTTAAAAGAGATTTTGATGCTCTAAAGATGCATCAATAAATCTAATTAGAACAGAGTTTTTGTCTTCTATACATTTCATTTACTTTTTTCAAGACATAGATACACTGATCAGTGCCTAGCTTTGAGGCCAAACTGGTTGTCTGTGGCACCAAATGACAGTGACCACTGATTTTACTAAACTGTAAACAGTCCAGTAAAATCCTTTCCAGGACTTCATATATTGCAATTGCTACAGCAATTGAGCCATAACTGTCTAGGTTTCCAACTTTATGGGCATAAGAGTAACAGACATTACTGAGTCAGGCAACAGCCCATGAGTAATAAAGCCAGTGAAACAAATGGCAGACATGCTGCAACCTTAGGGCCTACAAACATCAGGTGCTCTGAACCACTTGGTTTATCAGCAGATAGCTGTATAATTTCTTCATAGACATCATAGTTGGTGAGCCCCAATGCATCCTTGTTTACAAAATTACCCACTTTAAAAGGGATCACTTTTAACACAAATAAACACTGCAGACTAGTGTTGCCTCCATAGCTCAGTTATAAAATTAGCTCCAGAAACTCCCTGTGTATTGCTCCTGTACAGGGATCTCACCTGCTTCCAAAAGTCAGTGGCATTATTACAGAGCAGCTTTTCAGCCATAGAGTCTTCTCTTATGTGTTCATGTTTGCAAATATAACTGCATATTTATACCTTAGTTTTTTGTATTGCGTGTTGTGAGTCGTATCACATTTTGCCATTGTTTCCTATTTTTACTTTTTTGGGAACTATTTTGCAGTTTTGCAGATTATTGTAGTCATTTTGCTTTCTTTGTGGCATTTTGTAGTCATCTGATTGACTTCCCACCAGAAAAGTTAACAGTCGCTTCATGGCTCTCTGGTAGGGGCCCCCTGACCCCTTGGGCCCCTGCTGTGCCCAGCCTGCTCAGTAATTCATTCCAGGTGTGCCATCTGATGTCACCAACCTGAACTGTTTGTAAGATAGAATATCATCAACCAGTACCGTCAGCAACATAAACCACTTCACTTTGTAGAAGCTTTTAAATCATTGTTTGGTGAAAGTTACTAATGACAGATGCTTCTTTAAGATGTAAACTGCCCCAATGCTTAATGCCATCATTTGTTTATGTGGACCTAGATTGCCCATACATTTTTGGATTGTCTCTTTAACTTCAAGCAAGCATCAATTCCAGTTCAAGAGAAGCTGTCAAAATATCTGTTATTTGAATCTGTAACATGATGCTGGAGTACAAAACACTCCTCTGAAATATAAAGTAATCAGTTATTTACTCAGGTATGCCTGACTCAAAATTGTACTTAAGTGCAGTACTTAGTTACATTCACAGCACTGTAAATTTTAAGTCAGTTTTGGAACAACCAAACTTTTATCGCAATATAAAACTGCTCACAGGTCTTTTTACCGTGCTCTCGCGCGGAGCTGTGGGCGGCGTGTTGAGCCTCTCTGGGACTTTCCTTCCTGGGAAAGTTATCGACCTCTGGCGTTAGAACTTCGCCAAGAAGCTTCTCCTCTTCCAACTTGCCACAACTGCCACGTCGCTCCAACTTCCTGAAGTGCCAGCAGTGTTCCCGGAGCAGCTTTATATAATCCCATCTGCTCACAGTGAGTCAATTCCTTTTTACGAAAGGTCGTATAACCGAACATCTAGCCTACTGTACAGGTTCAGTGCGGACCGCAGCACAGTGTTACAAAGAGAGTGGACCTGCATCTGTCCTAACAACAGCTGCAGTTCGTGTCCGCACAGACGGTCTCACTAAACATTGGCAACAAGTGTCCCCCTGGAACTGTAACCGGGCTGTGAGAGGGCTGTAAAGACCATCTGGCAACAAAGTCTGTATTTCATTTAAACAAAAAGGCGAAAAACACTAGTGAGACAGACCCAGTGCTGTACTGTAACTGCAGTGGTGCAATTTGCGTTCAGAGGGAAATGTTCATTTCTCCCAACTACATTCATCTGATAACAGTTAGACGACTTTACACATTAAGGATTTTAATACTGAACATATGAAAAAAAAACTTCCGATGCATAGATTAAACTACCCAGCAGCAAACGGTAGTTATTGCCCTGTGTTGCTATTACATTATAATGTGTTAGCAATAGTTGGGGGCGGCCTGGCCCAGCCTTTTATGTTTATGTTCTGTTCTGTGTTAAGTGGGTGCAGCCGTAATGTTCGAATAATATGTGCTTGTATTGGTTACCGCTGTTTTCTGCGAAATGCCACGCTGTTCTGGCCAATGTGGGGTGGGGGGGAGGAACAGGTGGGGAGACGATAAGAGGGATGACAGGTGGGCGTGTTGTGTGCTGTGTTGGTTCTGTTGGCGGGCGATGGTGAAGTTCGGGAAGAGACTTGTAATGTTCTGTTTTGTTACTTTTTCCAGTGAGCACATAGTGCTGCATTTTGCAACCCTTTTCTTTCTTGTTTTTGTATGCCTGAATAAAGCCAAGAAAAGACAGAGACGGTGTTGTCCTCCTTGTCAGTCTAGGTGCCAGCACACAGCTGGATAGTTAGATGTCCCAGTATAGGATAGGGTCAGACCAGCTCCACTCATCCGAACCAGTGGAGCGCCACATTGGTGTCAGAAGTGGGATTACGCGCTCGTTGAATGGCGACATGGAGGGGAGTCTGGTCGAATTAGAGACGGAAATAGAGGAGAACACCTTCCAGCTGGGATGGCTGGAGAGAAGGCTACACCTGGAGCTAAGGACCAGCGTTCGCCCAGACGGCACGAGTGTGCCATGGCTAGCCCAACAGCCACACGTCGGACTTGTCTGCGGCCAGGGCAATGCCGAACTCCGGGGGTGAGTCGCGCCTGCCACCGAGGTCAGAACTAAAGCTGCCCAGGTACGGAGGACTGACCCCGCTTGAACCGTACTTGGCTCAGCTTGACCTCGCGGCTCGCCACGGAGGGTGGAGCCCGGGGGAGACAGCAGTGCGGCTGGGACCCGC